GGTTTGCCTCTAGTCATTCAGTAGGTTAATATAAAGCAGCTTCAGTTTACTAAAGAAGTAAGGTGGTGCTAAAACCACTACATCTCAGAATTTACATTTAACTATATGTTTATTGTCAGTAACAACCCACAAATGTGACACGCTATCCTGCTCCATTTCACTGTACATTCAAGCTCCACTTACAGAAAGTATCACCATGGTTACAGGAAAAGAGCTGCAGTAGAAAGCATAATATTTTACTCAAAGTCTGAACTAAACTACCAGGGTGAAGTATGAACCTCTTTCACACAAACAACCTGTATTTGACCAACTAATCAACATGCATTCAACCAGCTTTGACCCATTCATATCTGGATTTGTGTTACAAATACATACAAAGCTGTCTGCTACTGTAGTAGCATACACATCACTGAAAGGCCATTATATGACATTTTATATATTTTCTAAATGAAGTTGTAGACTTGATCAAATCATTAAATATAAGTGCAACAATGTGGTTAAAGACTGAGGTGGTGCAGTGTTCCAAAATGGTGGAGTTACAAGCTGTGCCAACATGTGTTTTGTCCCTTTTCTTTCTGTAGTAAATCTAGTAAAAACTTGGACTGCCATTTAACACATGCACTGGACAGATCATGCAGCATTTATGTTTGCAATACACAAATACTAGGCTATGCGTTGGATAAGTCTAACACTTTAAATAAAACACATTACCAATAATGTGCAATCTACAGCTGATGGGACAGTTTCTTCAAGAAAGAATATGTGAATGACACACTACTAAAGCAGCAGTGTTCCAAGTAAAAACAAAAAAAAAAACAAAAAAATGCACAGACATGCATGCGTGGCACTTAAAATTTGGGCCTCCAGATTCAGAATCACCACCAGGCTGCACAGCTGATCTCTGTTCGTTCGCCACATCATGTTAAATGCTGCAAAGTGTCTCAAAGAAAGTGCGTGTTTATTACAACTATGGATAAAGACATTCCAGTAGGCTGAAAGCCATTAGCTCTGGACTTAACATGTTAGTTCAGGTCTGTCCTTTGGGCTCACAATCCTGACAGTGCTGTTCATCATACTGAAGCTCAGTTACATAAGGATTACAGTAAACAG